AAAAAGACACCTCTTTGAAAATTTCAAGGTATCTTAAGATTAGATAGAGCCTAGAGGTAGTCTACAAAAAAATTGGACAAAAAAAATATAGGTTCATTATACCGGGGGATGGGGTCCTTTGGATTTTAGTGGGTAGTACTGGCTATGCTGGTGAGTCCCACACCTCGTGCCTAAATACATTTCCCAACGTTAAAAAAAAGTTGTGTACTTATAGACTAAACCTATTTCTGGGTTCCTTATTATAATATTATAAATTACTTTGCCAGGTAGTAGCTATATTATGTAGTATATTAGGGAGTCTTTATGGGGATGAGTTATGTGAAAATGTCCGGGCTGAATGACATCCTCCTCTATATCCTCTGGGAGTCTAAGAATAAATAGCATTGTGTGTATCAATCAAAAGCAATGTGATACGTATAGCACTTGGATTTGAGCAATTTTTTTCTTAACATTTTATTAATAAGCCCTTTTTACAATTTCATGTATTGTGCGCGTGCCGTAGTTTCATTTAAGTGTTAGCTACTGACGGCTTTAGATACCTATAGTTTCACTTATGATTGATAATAATATTATCTATTGTTGCAACGTGCGTATGAGGCCTCTATCAAGATCGCATGATCAAGATAGATTAATGTAAACCTTTATTTATACTTTAAAGTTTAAGTATATTTATCGTTTCTATCTTGATGGGTTTTTTATTTTTACTTAAATTTCAAATTTTTAATATTTTCTATATTTTTTTGTGACAATCGTGTCAAAATCTGATAAATATCAAATATCTAATAAAGGAGAGACGTGCCGTTTATGAAGTAAATAGTTCCTGGTAGCGTACTCGTAATAATAACGTGTGGTGAATCTTTCCATATGTGAGAACCTTTTGTGCTGTAATTGCTTTGTTTTCAAGATTCATAAACGAAAAAAATGCAAGAAATTTACATTTTGTTATATTTGCAATGTTAATTTTAACGTCAAGACTCAAAAATTTACATTTTTGTGTAATAAAAATTATAAATACAAAATTATATTATATAAATTATATTAAATAAATTATAAATCACTAGCAGAACCGGCGGCTTCGCCCGCGCTAAAATACAAGAAAATCTCTGAAAAGGTAGTTTCATACAAACTTTCATTCCCTATTTTACCTCCTTTCAGGATGAATTTCAAAATATGCTAAAATATGTTTTTAATGTATTTTATTGAAGAGCATTAATACGAAGTTTCAAGGAATTCTGATCATAAATATTTTTTTGGATTGTATTATAACGTGTTTTCCTGTGGGAATTAGATAATCTCCAGCGGTAAAAAAGTAACCTATGTCACTCTCCAGCCCTCCAACTATCTCCACACAAAAAAATCAAGTCAATCCGTCACTCCGTTTCGACGTGAAAGAAGGACAAACAAACAAACACACTTCCACATTTATAATATTAGTATGGATTTCATTCATATAATATTTTTCTTATACTTTTATACATATACCTAGATATATTTTTATCATTTCATGAACAACCTGTTTTAAATCACTTTCTGTAACTCAGTAAGTAAGACTTTCAAGGTGAAATTACTTAACTAGGACTATATATATAATAATTAATACGCTCTTACACATTGTTAAGCTTGTAAAAGCCTTATACAAAGCTTAAAATATGACGTAGGAAAACACCAAAAAAGCCAGATCAGTGACTCTATTCGACATTCGACAGCTAAGCTTGGTGGCATTCCCAAATCGTTGCAAGACTGCTAACTTTAGTAAAGTGGCCACGCAAGCTGCCCACTTATCGCTAAGTGCCCATCACAATTAGTAACTATAGCCCACAGGCATAATAATTAATTAGGCAGACAGGTACAATAAGCAAATAAGCCCAAAGTTCAATTCAACAGTCTGTGCCGCCGGGTAGGTGACCTCGGTATGTAAACACCCTAAGATTTAAATGTATGTTCAAAAAGATAAATCCAATAAAAATAATTAATTCCATAATAATATTAATGAAACTTTAGAACGAAGTCATTGAAGTGGCTATTAGCTAAATACAGGTGTTCAAATTTATGTAGACATAATTACTAGCGTCTAGTAACAGATAGTTTTTACTATCACACTCAATTTTCATTTACATTTATCAATGTGACGAATTTAAGCAAAAAGATTACTACAAACATGATTTAAAATTTTATATCAAGATATATAAAAATGTAAATATGTAAATTTTCTTTCATCATACTACTTTGAAATCAACTTAATAATTAACTTGTTATTGACTCCTTATACGACAATAATTCGCAATTTTAATATATTGAAGGATTTCTAAATTCTACTATACAAGGCCCTATTTTAACAATTGCAATTATATAATATTGTAAAATAACTGAAACAAGTGTTCACCCAGTGGTCGAATTTCAACAATGATCATTTTATAAAAAAAATATACTAAATGTGATACAGCAAGACATTCAAAATGGCTTACAAATGGACCAATAAAACCGACTACATATTATTTACAAATAATTGATTATTTATTATACAATTATGTTTATAATATACTAACAATAGCTGGTCTGTACCTGACCTACAGATCAGCTATTGTGAGGAATTCTTCAATATTGCAAATTACTATTAGAGTCGTGCTATGACTTATATTTACAAACAGCGTCGTAAAACCAATGCTCGACACTCAAATGATATGCATAACTTGTTGCTACTTATACACATATTATGTACATATTAACTATTGTCCAGAAAGAAGTATCTACCTAATGGAAAGATTAGAAAATTTTATTCTTAAAGGTTTATTAACAGTATTATTATGTACATTTGTAAACAAGACTTCAACAATTTATTGTCATTGCTAACGTAAAATACTTTTTCACATAACTAAATGTAACTTAGCTATAATAAATGATCTTTAGTCCAGTCATTTGATAGTTTTAACAGGAAAAAAATTAGCTTTTATCTGATTTGTGGATTAGGCCTACTAGGCATACCATGCAAAAAATCGCCAAATAGATACTCTATCTTGTTAGGTAATAGCTTGGTGGTGTAGAAGTGAGTTTTTTAACCAAAACGCGTATTACATAAATAACTATTTGCATCATTAAATGTGTAGAAGCGTGTTTTCCAATATGGCGTTTCGAGCTCAAAGATACGAACGACGTGGCAAAGTAGAAATTAGGAAAGAGCCCGTCGAAATCTATTAAAATCACCAATTTTCAAAACTTCCGGAAAACTTTCCAGGTATTACCCCGTTTTTGAGCATAAAATAACTGGCCTACTCATTTAATGACAAACCAAATGGCGAAATGAACAAGGTCATTAGATTTTAGGGTGCAAATATACTTGGAAATCACTTGTTTGACTATTGCTTAACATGTATGAAATGTTGCGAAAACTAAATTTATAACCTATCAAATTATGACACAAAAGACTACCATAAAATTCATGAATTATGCACATAAATATTAAGAACCATATATGCACACGTGAATGTCGAAAGTTCTTACTTTTATGTTTTAAAATTTAAATGTCATGATATAGAATTGTAACGTTTTTACCCGACTGCAAGGAAAGGGTTATGTTTTTATTAAAAGTACCTGGGTGACCGATCTTCGTTCGACGTTTTTTTTTTTTTTTAAAAAAAGGATATAAAATTACATTTTAAGAAAATACACCTATAGATAAACTCAAAAAAAAACAAAACTTTAGCTAAATACGCAATTTGATCCAAATCGTTAGAGCTGTTTCCAAGATACACGACATAAAATTATTATTTCAAGAATTGGTCATATCTAATATATTTAAACGAGCAATTCTTGTATATATAAATATATATATAATCTGAATCTCTGAAACGGCTCCAACAATTTTCATGAAATTTAGCATACAAGGGTTTCGGGGGCGATAAATCGATCTAGATGAGTCTTATGTCTGGGAAAACGCGTGTTTTCGAATTTTCAAGCGTTTTTCTTATTGCGTTTGCACGCAAAATATTATGTTCGATAATTTCGCACGCTTGGCCATAAGCATCATGGTCAAGCGGCCAAGGCGCAAGATTGAACAAGTGTCCGGGTTCGATTCCCGGTCGGATACAAAGGTATAATTTATATTTGTTCTTTTTTTATATTTATTCAAGTTTTTTGTTTTTTTTTTTTTAAAGAAAATTGTACTTTTTACAAAAAACTCCAAGCGAAGCTCGGTGGCCTAGGTACTAATAATAAATATATGTATACGTGATATATGTATATAAAAATAAAAACAGAAACTTCTGACCTTCGGCGTAGTAGGCCAACGCTTTAACTATTAGGCTATTCAGACGGTAGCGACGACGACAAAATTACGAACGATATTGCCTGGGAGCTGGGCAATTCTTTTTTTTCAACGAAATCGTTAGAGTCGTTTTCGAGAAAGGGATTACAAATATACAAATTTTGCTAGTTTAATAGTATAGGATATATAATTCTTCTTTATAGTTTATGTACATACTAGCTATCCTGACAGACGTTGTTCTATCTAAATTTCAATGTTTTTTGATCATACAAAAATCCTATTAAAAATCACTCGTTTTACCAAAATTTCCCAACTTTCCGAGTAACTTCTCCAAAAAATCTATACATATAATAAAATTGTAACTAAGCCGAATCTGTGCATTAAATATCTTTTAGAAAACCTTATTGAAATAAATATTATTATCGATACAGAAGCCGAATCTATAGTTTTTAGAATTTTTGTCTCTCTGTCTGTTACCGCATGACAGAAAAACCACTGGAGGGATTTTAATGCAATTTGATATGGTGATAGCTGGTTATCCAGGTAAACATATAGAATACTTTTTACCGCTGGTAAATGTATCAGTTCTGAGAAAAAATACAAAAAGTGCAATGTAAGAGAATACTAATATGTTAAATCTAAGAATTGAGTTTTTGGTCATCTGAACGCGGGCGGAGCCGCGTGCAGTTCTAGTTTTCTATGAAACTTTATATTCTTCAGTATTATAATGTTTAAAAAAATGCCAACTCACTATTGCACTGCAACGATAGGGTTGCGCGGGTGAGTAAGATTCTCACGGTCTCTTGATGGACAGAAAGGGACTGAGACTATTACTGCCTTCATGGTTTTTATTTATTCGTGTATATGATCTAGTTTGAATGTAAAACATTGTTACATTATAAAAATAAAAAACCCGATTGCATAAAAGCTAACTAAAAAGATGAAAACAAGTTGAGGAAGGAATAAAGCATTATGCAGTCGGAGAGACACGTTTCATCCTTGCCCGAGATATACGCACATACATATGTATGTCTCCGACTGCATAACACTTTGTTTCTTCGTCAATTTGTTTTCATTTTTTAGTTAGCTTTTATGCAGTCGGGTTTTTTTTATTTATATAATATATTTTTTATATGACATTTGAAATTATACTTAGCAATTTTTTATACCAAAATTGCTTTTAAACATATAGTTGTATATATTTTTGTGATCACCTCTTAAAAACTTTTATTTTCATACCTCACTCGATTGGTTTGGAAGATTTTCTTAAAGACACAAATTGGCGCCTTAAATCCGCCATATTAATCTTAAATATTTTAATATAGCCTATGACACTCGTGTTATCAAGACGAATCTAACGACGTGTAAATCATCAAAATCTGCCTACGCGTTTGGTCTCTATAATGCCACATAGGAACAAACAAACATACATACCTTTGCCTCGTGCAGTCCAATATTGCCCGACGTTCTAAGGCGCATTCGCTCACTTCTCAATTCGGGTTACATTTTGATTTCATAAAAATATCAAGCTTAAATGAAAAAAAACCACTTCAAAATTCAACTTGTTTTGCTAGATATATCTCGTTACTGAATATTTTAGTAGGTGAAAAGTAGGTCAAGAGATAAGCCAGATTTATCTTAAAAAATATATTTACATTTGTAATCACCCATGACCTGACACAACAATATGGCCGGTGTCTATTCCATTTATGGAGGTTGTAGGTTAATACAATCAGAGTATAAAATTTTAGGCAATTTTAATTTCTCTAGGTTTAAATGTAAGATCGCAAAGCGAATGAACTGATTTAAGTGTAATAAGTCCTTAATTAAAAACAAAATCCTTTCACGCTTACAAAGAGATACGAAAAGAGATGTGTTTATAGAGAAAAAAGGATTAAATTACCTTTGGTTTGATATTCTGTGATTATTTATTATTTTACCTACCTGCACTATACCTACGCAGGCATTATAAATACATACATATCTTATTTTATAATATGTATTAAGTTAAAGTTACTAGGGGAGTAACCCCGATAAAGGGTTTGAACATTTTTCTATGAAAGCTGGCATTAGGCAATTTATTTTATTTTTTTCAATGATGTGGCGCACAGTGAAAACACGATAGATAACTTAAACAAACCAAAAAATATAACCAATATGGTGCCCTAAGATGTCACGTTCCAATATACTTTGAGGTAAAGATCAAACATCATAATGGTCCTTCTTTTATTTGCTTAAGTAGGTACCTATATTATATTTACTATTTTATATTTATATAATATATACCAGAGCATTGTGTACCAAAAGTTAAAAAAAATTAGAATGGCGTGACAGTCGCACTAAGGTCTAACCCTTTTTCAGACCACTCCCAGTCTCTTTATTTAAAGGTGATAATTAAAAAAATCATTTTAGTCGATTCCCTATAACTAAGTGAACTAATACATAAATCATAATTTTATTTTAATAGTGTTTGTTCGATTTCATTCCTTACTATGTATGAATTTATTTGACTTAACGATGGAGATAAGTTAATATAATATTCTTCTTCTTGTCAACTCTCACGAATCACGATCAATTGACAAACCCTTAAAGGTTCGTGTGTCTTACTTTGAGGAACTCTGATATACGTAGAGTAAATAGTAATATTACATTGTAGTATCAAAGGAACTAAGGTTAAGGGTTACTTTGATAATACAGTCAATTCAATCAGTCTCGCTGCATTGACTTAAGAAAAGGACGTAGGGCTTACATCTTTTAAGGAGATACGAATATAGTGTTATTGATAAAATGGTACTGTTATTATTCGGCTATGCCTTATATTTTCACCATAAATTACGGATAATCAAAATACAGAGGTAAGTTATTAAAAATTTCTGTATAAAGCTCACATTAATTACTATAAATATTTTAAATTTGTATATAGGTAGGTACTTTAAAAATTAAAATCTAAACATGAGATTACATAGACAATCAGTGTAAACTATAAGAAGCAAGGTAAAAACATATATACGGAGGATTTACTAGAGACTTCTAAATAAATAGTAGGTACCTAAATGTAAATCATAACAAACAAGGTCTTCGTCAGATCTTTACAACATATTACTTGTTTTAATAAATCACTAGATCAACGGATGCTTGTGCATAAGCGAACTTTGATCATTTTCGATGACTCCGCAAAAACAACTACACATTATGTAAGAATTTGCTAGTAGCATAAATTACATAACGTTAGTCTAATAGCTAGTAATGTACTGCTGCCAATGTGAAGATCCTGGGTTAAAGTGCTGAGTCAGGTGAAGTTATACTTATTGGATTTTTTTGTCAAGAAATTCTCAATAACCACTTGAAGTTGGGAAGCCGGTATTACATTCTCACGCCTCAAAAAACACCTTAAGCTCTAATTTCACCGGTCTTTGAATTTGAAAGGAATAAAGAATGCACTTGTGGTATACTCTATATTCGGCATAATTAGGGTTCATTTTGTATTATTAGGTCCAGTTTTGGAGAAAAAGTTGTACCAATAGGTAATGATCGTATTTCGTGGAATTTTTTTTTTAATTATTAATACTACAAGAATTAAAAAAGTACCTAAAATATTCCAATTCCATTTAAACAGTCAATTTTAATGAGATAAGTAGTTTTAATAAGATGATTAATGCGTGATGATAGTCCTATGTAACAAATTTATCACTGTAGGTATTTTTATACCACATTCATTTATAATGCTCGAGCGTGTGAATGATTTAACGCCATTTGACATAATATACTTAGGACCTCACACGTTATTAAATACTTAAACGTCGATAAATCTTCACAATTTTCTTTGATCTTCTACAACAAATCTACTACATACAAAAAACACAATAAATTGAACTTATTATCTTCAATGTACTTATTTACCAGCATAAAATATATGTAGGTGCATACAAAGTTTGTCTGTCCATCGACGTTGTGACTACCAACGAATATGGCACTTAAACTAACTAAATTATCATTACAAACAAAATTTTAGACAAATGTTTAGACAATATATATTCATGCAGATAAATAAAATTGAAATATCTATTTATAATATCAAAATAACAGCTTTTTAATTAATACATATGAAAGTATATACGGTAGTTATAATAAAGAAAAACAATTTTAATTTTTTTTGTTTTGTCTGTCTGTCTGTTTGTTCCGGCTACTCTCCGAAACGCCCGGATCGATTTTGACGCGGCGTTTACTGGCAGATAGCTGATGTTACAAGGAGTAACTTAGTATTTAGTTTATTTAAAAAAAACGATTAGGGTTCCGCGCAAAAAAATTGAAACCCATGAAATTGCGAATAAATTCCGCGTACCTAGAGACGCACCCGAGCAAAGCGAGGATAAGTCGCTAGTCTATACATATAATAAAAGTGTAACTGGTCTGTACATGGAAGATATTTGAGAAAAACTATCATTGGAGATCTTTATTTACGCAATAGATTATAGAACCCAAAACAATGATTTTTATAATTTTGGTCTGTTTGTCTGTGTGTTTGTGCGCGCTAATCTCAGAAACGGCTTAACCGATTTGGATGTGGTTTAAATTAATATATTGTTGTAAGCTTTACTCAACATTTAGTATTTATTTTATTTTAATCGGTTCATAAATAAAAAAGTTACGTCCATTTAAAGAATCACTCACAATGATTACAATACAATCACAATCGCTAGTTTAGAATATTAAGCAAGTTAAAAGCGATTTTGAACTTGCTACATATCCATCTATCAACTCTACAGCGGATTTTGTTGCTCCGAATCGACAATTTTCCCGTGTGTAGAGTTGTTTGTTGATATAAACGGATGCTTACAACCGCATAAGCATAGTTAATCCATAGACATTTCTGTTACTAACGAGTAACGATATGTACGGTAGAGTTTCTGCTCACCACCGTATTTTAAATATTTAAAATATTTCCCTTATGATTTCAGATTCAGGTCATGTGTAGCGAGCAACGGATTTGTACTTGAACGTTCAATTCGTATCTTATCTAAATTTTCACTTAGCTTCAAAATCGTGCTGCTCTTCTTACTTCACAAACGATCACGCTCATTCCTATGAATACGTACCTTAATAATAGATTTTTTTAAATGTTCCCGTTATGTCGATTTCATTCTGAAAAATGTACCTACTGGTGCCTTCATACACAAGTTAGGTTGTTATCTTAAAAATTATCCTTATAGTAGAGGTGGCGTAGCATTTCATCTAGACCATCGTTTCTCAACCATTTTTATGCCGAGACCCACGAAAAAGCCAAAAAGTTGAGTAAAAAGTCTTGCGACTCCGTAACTATAAAATTATAATAATATGTATATAGCAAGCTATTTCTATTAGCCATATTACGTTATATTAGCCTTCACTGGTTTAAACCTGCGGTGTACTTGCACGAACTTTCGAATTCGAATTACTGGACAGTCACTCCACGACAAGTGAACACATCGGGGAAGCTACATTTAATTTACGTATCGCAAATATTAATATCATTATTATCTAGAACGCAAAACGAAATTAAAGTCACTAATTTGTTTTGTTTACATTTACGCGCAGATAACTTTTGTATTTAAAAACAATATCCATAACCTTCTCGTCGTCAATCGAACATATTTATTATCAACTATAATTTATAGCAACTTACTCTCGCTTCGCTCGGGTACGACCCCAGGTACTTTTTAAATTGATATAAATAATTAGTGTGAGTGTGCCTTACGAGAAAGACTTATGCTATTGCAGATTTTTTAGCCAGCCTTAGCCATGTAAATAATTAATACGACTCGATAGAACCAGTTAATTTATTTTCCTGTAGGAATGAAAGATTTCCCCTATTTGTAGTAAAAGGTACCCTAAATGTTGACCGCGGTAATAAATTGTCATTATAAAAAAAATAGTTAAAATTGGTTCAGTACTTTTACGTGAAACGCGCGCACACAAACAGACAAACAGACCTCAAAAGGATCCTGATCACTGCTACTTTCTAAACAGTCGTGACTTAGCTCTTGTTCCGTATCAGATTACACGATGTGTTCACTACAATGAACATCTGTCAAGCTCGATACATCGGAAGAATTTTCAAAAATGTCGTATAACTAGACCTAAGTCTTGCTTCGCCACTGCTGTCACCCATGTTTGTTAAAAACCTAATAAACACAAAAAATATTAAATTAACATTAAAAAATCAATGATGAAACTCAAACGTTACCTATGTGGCGGTGTATTATTTACCCCACGTACGTGTGCGCGTGTATATCTTGAACGCCGGTCGACGCAACCGGCAACACTGATATCACATCACACCACTATCCGCCCCCGGACTTATTCAGGTCTAACTACACGAGGTCGTTTAGACGTAAACGGTAATAATAACAAAATATGTCTATAAAAACAATTGGTGGGGTATGGACCACCCCACGACACTCCCGCCGGGTTAATAACAAAAAGAACTCATGTGCGTGCAACATATTGCATATTGTATATAATTATAGTATCTAATATTAAGTCTGTAGAGTACATTAAATATTTTTTGAAACATAAATACCTATATCATTATTTTTTGTTAGCATGACTCTATCCATCTGATGGAAGATCCGGGTTATCACGCAAAAACTACTGAATAGATTTTTATTTTAATCATATTTTATTCGATATGTAATGGTACAGTAGTCAGTACATAGACTATAGTGTGCAATCTCAGAAACCAGAAGTCTCGCGTTGTAGTTTTAAGAGTACTTTTTATACAAGAATTGCAATAATTTGTGTATTACCTTTACTTAATATTCAGTATAGTTTATAAGTTGGAAAATGAAGAGATTTGCAAATCGACGCAGGCCCATAATTTTAATCTATAATAATTATTTTTAGTGATGGCGCTCACGAAGTCATGCTGGTTAAAGGGTGTAAACCCCAAGTGGCCAGTAAACAAGCAAAGAGCCAAGAAGAATATGAAGCGCTTCAGAGTTTCCTTAGGAGCATTAGTTCTACTGCCACTCTACCTCCATATGTGAAAGGGGAAACGTATTCATCTTTCCGTGGTGTTTTCAACCAGGTAACTTAATAATGCTATTAATAGAATTATTGTGTACATAATAATTGAGTATAGTAAGCGCAATAAATAATATATATGTATTTAAAGGTCACTCTTTGCAACCCACTAATATGCCACAAAAACTCCGAAAAACCCGATACTCAGATCCATTAATACAACTAGTGTATAAATGTTAATAAAGCACGTCGGTAATTAATGGCGCGAAAAAAGTCAAATCAAGAAACTTACCTTTGCGTTTATTATATTAGTAAATAAATATTCCCGAATAAAAATACTAAAATGATCGACTTTTAACAAAAGATAATGTAAAGATAACGTTTTCCTATTCAGACGAGCTACTTGTACTCTACCATTGATAAGTAACATAGACTTAGCAATTGTGCTTTTTTATTTTTACTTGTACTAGATTAGCCGAAACAGGTCAGAAGGCAAATAAAGACAAGATTGTAGGTACTTATTGGTGTAGCTATAAAGCACAAAAAGAAATTTAAACAGGAAAAATATCAATTATACAAACAGATGAGGCGAAGGTCCGTCACCAGTAGGTAAATAAAAAGTTGTATATTTTTGTACGCCATTTATAAAACTTTTCATTTTATAGCCCTATACCCTCGACAGGTTTTAAGAAAAAAGATTTTGGAGACATAATATTGCGCCAAAAATTGGCCATTTTAATTTTTATAATTTTGATATACCCCGTGCTACTCTTACAATTAAGACGAATCTAACGACACCTCTCAAGCTAAAATCCATCAAGTCTTTTATGTTACAGAGCGTTCCAAAGAAATATACATACATAGGTAGAAATATACATAGGTATAGCTACACTCGAAAAACGTAACACTCCTTCTGGCACAGTTGGGTAATAAAATGATATTTAAATGCAAAATATTAGAGGAAATATATGAGGTAAATGTAAGCTTATTTTGTTATACTCGTACTACTTCCTCATAATACGAAACCGCGGACGAGTTAAGAGGTAGAACGAAATACTTGCCTAAAAAACAAACTAGGGCATAAACTCATCCAACTGATCATTATAAAAGTTTAAAAATTTAACACGTGTAAAGAATAGAAAAGTTCTAAACAATCTCATAACTTTAATTTATATTTTGACTTTAATAAATTGCTGTTGATAAAAGGCGGTTATAGTGCAAACATCATTTGATCTCAATTAAGTAGATTGCCAATGTATGGTCAGATAACGAGGTAATGATTATGTAACGGTATTTTCCGATAACAACTTGAAGCCGAGGTACTGTGCTTACCTTTACAAAGTCAAGTTCGTGGCATGAGGAGACTATCGATAATGTGCTGAACAAAGTATTTAGATCACATTTTATAGGAGTCATCCTCGGCTCTTGTTATTTATGAGACAAATGTGTTACATACATTTTCTAAATGAAATGGGTATGCTATACAAATGATGAATTATTCTACCTTATTGTGTAGGTACATGAACGTAAAATAAACACTATTTTCTTCTCAAATCAATAACACCTCTAGGTAAATTTCTAAGAAATTAATTAAATTTCTAATAAATCTGTAACGCCGGCGTGTCCGCAATCGTGAAGGGGTTAAGGTTAGAAGCTTCACTACAAGTTTTTAAAGGGCGAACAGGCCTAAAATTGTGCTAACTGTAAATAATTAGCATATGGCTATATGTAAGATAAATCTACTGTATAGATTAGATATCCATAATTGAAAATGTTTATTATTGTTGAATAATTGGTATTTCTGAAATTACGAGCTGAATTATAATCAAAACGATAAGAGACTTCTTTTATTATAATAAAATAATATATTGAATCCATACTAATATTATAAATTTGAAAATGTGTTTGTTTGTTTGTCCTTTCATATCGAAACAGAGTGGCGGATTGCCGTGATTTTGTATAGTTGAAGGGCTGGAGAGTGACTTAGGTTACTTTCTATCGCGGGAAATTATCACATTCATACGGGAAAACACGTTACAATACAACCCTTAAAAAATATTTACGATCAGAATTACTTGACACTTGGTATTAATGCTCTTTAATACAATTATTTAAATACATGTTTCAGCATTTTTAAAATTCATCCCATAAGGGGGTAAAATAGAGGATGAAAGTTTATATGAAACCTACCTTTTTAGAGCTTTTTTTGTAGTTTTAGCGCGAGCGAAGCCGCGGGTTCTGCGAGTTGAATATAAATCTATAAAACTTAATTTATGTAATGCTGAGAATAGTTAATGATAGGGGAAGTATTTTTTTCATTTTAGTGTTTAATAACCTGCGCAGTCCTCATTTTGGCGGCGGGTGCAGGACATCCCATAGGATTTTCGGCAGTTGCCTTACCTCAGTTACGGACAGAAAATTCCTCTTTAAGAATCAACGATGAAATGGGTTCATGGATAGGTGAGTAAATAAAATTACTTACTTTGGAGAATATACCCTCACCCAATAATAAAACCTTATATAAATCATTTTAAGAGTAGGTACTATAACTGTTATATTTACGACGTAGATGTTGTCTTATTCAGCCTTCTTGGTAATGAAATTGCCTCGTGGAGACTTGGAAAACGATAGTGTATTGAATAACGTTCTTATATGGTGTGATATATAGATACGTAGAGCTCCGCAAAAACAAGCCGAAAGGCAAAACCGGAAAGCGGAAACCTATAATTTCATCATGTCAAGTTGCCCGTATATCACAGTCATATTATTCATTTGGTACTAAAATGTGGAAGGTTAGTAGGTATAGGTATCTCGTGTATACCGATTAATAATAGTGAATTCTAATAACGAAAAATATTGTGTCCTTGTTTTTCATGGTATTTTTGAAAAATATCATGAGATGAAAACTTATTTCAGCAGACAATAAATAAAATATTGTTTTTGGCTAAATATTTTATTTTACTTACTTAAAACGTACTTACCACAATTGCTGGAACCCTTTACCCTCGATGCATGAGTCAGACTAGTTCTTATCCGATTTTTATATGTGTCTCTTCCTTAAAATCTTGATAGCAATTCTATGGTCATTAAGGAAAATAACGATGTAAGCAATATAGGAAATATGTTTACATAAATTTCTAATATTACCTACAGCTATAGACTGGTCTCTAGAGTATTCGAATTAATTATGTGTTTGAATAAAGATTAATGCGAAATAAACATTTCACACTTAAAAAATAGCAACATGACAGTGTTCAACCTTTCAATTAGTTTAATTAAACTCTACATAGTTCCATGTCTTCAAATACTCAATTTATTTTAATAATTGTCCTCATCATCCACTCGCTATAATTAAACAATTATTATTAGTTTTTTGTCCTGATATATCAAATAGCAAAAGGCAGTGGTAGCCCAGTGGTAACGCGCTTACTTGCGAAACCTCTCTTATTTTCACATGCAAATCACTTCCAACATGATTACCACTTGAGGTGAGGTGAGGGAACCTGCATGTCTGAGAGAACTTAGTAGGTAAATTTTCGAAAGACATGTGGATTCCGCCTATCCGCATTTGGCCAGCCCGGTGGACTATGACCCGATCCCCCTCGTATTGAAGGAAGGCCCATGCCCAGCAGTGGCATGTTAAAAATTGCTGAATACATTAGATATTAGTTTATCATTTAGTACCTATACATACCTCAAATAAATATATTTACGAGTTTTATACAAATTAAATAATGCTGAACATAATTTTTGTCAACAGCCAGTATCCATTCAGCGGCAACTCCATTAGGATCGATGATATCAGGTCCTATAATGGAGGCGATAGGCCGACGGAGGACTCTACAAGTTTCCACGCTTCCACTAATAGTGGGTTGGATATTAATAGGAACAGCCACTCATCATGCCCTGTTACTGCTAGGCCGAATTGTATGCGGCTTTGCTGTAGGCATCCTTGCGGCACCGTCACAAGTATGTATTTAATATATGGAAAAAAAGATTTAAGATTTATTTTATGGAGAAAATTTTAATCGTATCTAATTATGCTTATCATAAAGCAACTGACCTTTAATTAAAATAGGACAATGTACTACAGAATTGTTTTATTATGTAACAAGTAGACATAATAGAGGAGGTTGGATTGCATGACGCAATTCAATATTCCGTGGAACTTTTTCTCATCTAAATAATTAATCTAATAGATGGTATTCTGTTAGATTTCATCGTAAGAACAATTCTGAACAATTTTTTGTACTCAAAAATAGCAGAAGGAAATATTTTAAGTGTAATCAAATACAAAGTCAGTACAAAACCCCAAAAAGTAATTTTAGAAATTAGATCGATTTATTTTTTATATATATTTTTTTATCGGTACGTATAATATGATTTATACATAATTTCATAACTAATTTGTTTTTTTTCTTAGGTGTACTTAGGAGAGATCTCAGAACCACGACTGAGGGGATTGCTTATTGGCACTCCTTTCGTAGCTTATTCGCTAGGGGTGCTCTACGTATATGCGCTTGGTGGGGCACTGTCATGGCGGTCAGTGGCCCATCTATCAATAGTGCTACCAGTTTTAGCATTTGCTGCTCTATGCTTTTCGCCAGAAAGTCCTACTTGGCTTGCTCGTCGAGGAAGATTCCACGAAGCTATGGCCGCAATGGCTAGACTACGGGGAGATCCTGACACAGTAAGTTGTATAATATATACCTATTATACTTTTTTAGTATATAAGCATATTGAAAAAAAAATATTAATTACTAAAATATAGCTCTTAAAGCAATAGTGTGCTTCTTAGTAGGTACGTGTATAATTTCGGTAAGTTCAAACATCATACAATTTTTATAAAACTAAAGTATATTATTTTTAATGTAAGACTCTTCTGGAACGTTTGCATTTATTCCACCAATCGCTGTTAATGAGCTCAATAAGAACGCACTTGACAATTGAGTTCATGTTTCTCGAATAAGTACACAACATAAACAAATTCAATAGACTAACAAACTGTTGCAAGTCTCGTTAAGTTTTATACATTTCAATTCATTACATGCATTGTAACATATTTAGAATAGAATGTATCTATAATATGATTACACTAATTACTCAAAGACACTTCAAACGTGACTGGCATATTACTTCAAACAAGTAGGTATGTTTATTTACAGATTCTAAAGCAGGAAGTAAATATATAGCATTTTTTGCACTCGCTAATTCCAACAACACTGCTTAGCTCATTAAAATGATTCTTGACAGAATATTCGCATTTTAAATCGACATAAATATGAATCTGAGACCGAATAATTTAAAATGGATAGAATTGGCATCAGCATGGCATGGTCGTGGCTATTAAGTTTACCGCTACAACATTCTTCATAAATATTAAATACCTCAATAAATCAGAACACGCATACTTAAATAGATATTTTGTAGAATAACGTAGTTTTTTCTTTGATCCGTACGTTTTATGCAGCCTTATATCGGTTTGATTATTTAGTTTCAAAATAATCACTAATTGTATGATACATAAAAGAGAAAAATATTATTTCATCATACACCATCACTATAAAATATTTTTATAAGTCGATGATTTTATAAGTCGATGATTTTATAAGTCGATGATTATATTTCATGTAATAATGTTTTTTCTGTTGACGATCCTAAATAAATAAATAAACGATTTCTGTTATCCAGGCACAACGCGAACTTCATGAATTAATATCAGCACGGGAAAAAGAAAAAGCGAGGGGAGAAGAAAGCATTCGTTTCCTAGCAACAGTTCTTAGGCCACCAGTTTTGAAACCTCTCCTCCTTATAAATGCTTTCAACATGCTACAAATTTTATCTGGTAGCTATGTCGTTATATTCTACGCAGTTGATATTGTTAAGGATTCTGGAGGATCGCTCAATCCACAAGTAAGCATATTTTTTTTTATTTTTGTATTGTATTTTGTATCACAAAAATAACTATATAATTGATATTATTATAATAATGTCCTCCCGACCGATTCCGGCCATGGCGGCCAATCTCATTGAGACTAGCCAACTGCGCAGGAGATATTATAGTGCACAAGTGTACGCGCAGACACAACGTGCACACTCTATTTCTGTTACTCTCATGCTCTGGTGGGACGAGTACTACTCGACACGACCGGTGAGAGTTAAAGCGCAGGACTGATGCGACACGTGCTCTCCGAGGCACGGGGGTGAAACACCGCCTACTTCCCAACTCCGGGCTGTTACTGAGACTTTTTAGACAGAGAGACTCAATAACTAAACATGGCCCGACCCGGGATTCAAATCCAGGACCTTCGGATGTGCAGCCATACATGCTAACCACTCCACCACCGATGCAGTCGAATATAATTGTTATTAATTCAAATACAAAATAACACGGAAGCCAAATTGTAGTAGGTACACAAAAAAGTAGTTAACCTTTAAACCTTTAAAAATTGATAACTTTTGTAAACCAACTTGACAAAATAATAAAAATAGGCATATTTGTAATTTATGCAGATATAACCAATAATATGTTAATTAATTAAAATTAAACTTTATTTGTAATATAATAATTGGTAGGTAATCTAAATTAAAATAGCTTTTCTGAAGTAATAAATCGTGCCGAATGGCACTCCTAGAAGCCATTGAACAAAAGAATTGAATTGAAGTTAGAAACTATTTATCATTTATGCTACCGTGACATAAATGCATAGTTTCTAACTATAGAAATAATGCAAAAAAAATTGTAGCAATGCTTTATGTATCAGTGATATCGATATAAGATTTTCATATAGCACTATATAAATACTTATGTTTTATATACATGTCTCTAAAATGTAACATGTGCCCTGGCACCGAATATACATATATCACAGGGTCTGTCGCTTTAACAATTCGATTGTTGACGACACTGCTGATAAGTTTTATCAATTTTCAAATCTACAAGTAATATATCATTCAATCACGTACCATGACAATGTATAAATTGCAATTAGTATGCCAAATGTATTTTATAAAACTATAACTTGAGTTTGATTTCGATGATATTAAATCCCTTGCTTTGAAACAAGGCGATCATATTATAGTCTAGTCGAGAAGTGTATTATCGGCGAAAAATGATTAGAGTCAGAAAATTATGGGCGATGGCTCGTTAGGCGTCGTATTTACTTAAATATTATAATCAAAAGTAAACATAATTGAATTGATTAATAAATTATGAATAAATACCCAACAATCTTGAATTTTTTCGCTTAACATTTGTTATTTATTTCAGATGGCTGCAAACGCCAGTGCTTGTGTAAGACTCGCAGTTACGGTTCTTGCTTGCGTACTTCTACTGCGAGTCACTAGACGTTTCTTGGTAATGGTTTCTGGAATCGGCACTGCAGTTTGCACCCTCGCCCTGGCGATCCTACTCAGCCAAGGACCAGGAACAGGCGTGACACCACCGATCCTCATCCTTGGATACGTCGCCTTCAACACCCTAGGCTTCTTCCTGCTGCCAGGACTCATGATTGGGGAACTCCTGCCTACTAAAGTTCGCGGACTATGTGGAGGATATATTTTCTGCCTCTTTAACGCAGTGCTGTTTGGATTCACAAAATTATATCCAGTCATGAAAAATGGTATCGGAATGGCCGGAGTTTTCGGACTTTTTGGTGCATCTTCTACTTTTGCCACTGTTGTCCTATTTCTATTACTGCCAGAAACCAAAGGCAAATCGCTAATCCAAATAGAACAGTATTACCAAAAACCCAATATATTATGGGTTACACGCAAGAGGACGACAAATGCACAAAGTGTTTAAACTGCTGAGGAAGTATTATACTATATTGATAGTTAAGTATAATGTAGATACTTAAAAACAAAACGCCTTGTTTTTTTCACTATGTAATAAGCAAGGCGAATGACAGTGTCATTTTCTATTGTTAATGCGCTACTCAGAATATTGAACTTGTTTCCAACTAAACCAATACAGTTGATCGGTAAAACAAGTGCTACAAACACTTATGTAGGTTAGGTCTGCGTGTACTTTTCAAATGCGCATTTTTATTTATTCATACTTAAGAGTTTTGACGAATTTAATCCAAAGTAACTTTACATGTTACAAATTAGGTAGAGTCTAAATAATATTATAAAATGCACTAATTGATATAAAATTGATGTGTATTCGAGATCTTCAGACAAGATGACATTCTACAATCGCTATCGAATAAAAAAACTAAAACTTATCTGTCTGAGTATTCATTATTCATCTTGATAAAAACATGCCATTTGCATAATATACTAGCTGTGCCGGTTTCAGCCGCGTTAAATTTGTTTGATTATAAACATCTGTTTTACAATAATGTATGGAAGTCTGCCCGATTAGCCGATAGCTGCCCGATAGCTTGTTGATATATATGGTTATATATCAACTTCCTCAAAAACGGGCTAACTAATGCAAAAAGAATTTTTCAATCAGATAAGTAGTTCCTGAGATTAGCGCGTTCAAACAAACAAACAAACAAACAAACAAACAAACAAACAAACAAACAAACAAATCAACGATAATAATATTATAGATAATGATATAATAGAATATTAGTATAGATTATACTTAGATTTCAATTGTCTCATGAGGAACAAAAAAAATGTTTAAACCAATGCTAATAGATGGCATTTTATGCGTTGATTTGTAATTTGGAGTAAGCATAAAATTAATTAAGAAGAAAGTAATTCTCAAATCAAAAAAGGTATATTTTAGTTTCAAAAAAAAACTCGAACAATAAGTAAAGGAAAATTAAATACATAATTCCTGAATACGAAAATAATCTTACTAATGATTGAAAATAACAAGTCTGCGTTGCGTATTTATGGATGGCACTGATTATATTTTATGGATACCACGATTAAACACGGTAGAAAGAAAACGATAAATACGACAAAGAGAAGTCACTGAAGAAAGTGTTTGTGAAGTGTTTTATTAAATGCAAAATGAATTTTGATATGTTTGACATATTTAAGTGCTTACACATTTGTAAAATAAAATAGACCGTTTGAAAATCAACGCACACTATAATAAGTCCATTTAAACAAAAAATTGCCGGAATAGGGGGCGGACAATTTGTTTGTTGAGGATGAGGCATGTTGCCATGTACTACTATAGTAATGTGCTATAGAGACATCGATTGTAGAAAGTCAACTTGTGTAAAAACACTGTTTTCAATATATAATATACTTTTATAGGTGCATTTTATCTGTGACTTACTAAAAATATTAAATGTAAGTCTAAATGTGTACAAAATTAACGTTTTGAATGTTTATAAAGTGTCAACTGTAATATTGTAAAAAAACCAAATATAAAAAAATGTGATGTATTTTATAGTTTGTATACGAGCGGATTGTATTTTAAATTGCAAAAGGGACAGATTAAAAAATAATATAAAACTATTTCAAAAATAAGTTACACTGACTTCACTAAGAAAATAATGATTTCATATGGGTGTTTTTTACTCAAACTTGTTATAAGTAACCATTGAATAAACTAGCATTAAAATCTAGCATAAAATACATAAAAAAGTACACCTGAATAAGAATTTCTTCTGTTTTTTCAGTCGGTTAAAAATAAACCATATATTGATCCAATATTGGCGTTATCTGTCTAATAAAATGTATGGGAATATTAATATTATTTAGATACATGTCCAGACAAGCGATGTAATGTCCACGCTCGTGTACACTTGTTATCGCTATCAGCGTAGTGTACTATTACAAATAGGTTCCAAACAACATGTGATATGAGATTTTTATCTGTGATCTATAAAATGACCGCGTAGTTCATATTAAATACTAATAGGTGCTTTTACGGTTCTTTTACATAAGACAGCTATTTTTCTATAAATGCATAAGTTGTTACTATGTGATATAAATAAAAGCTGAAATTGTGAAAAGGCCTTTTATTTTACTTTTACATTATTTACAATATCAATCAACTGCCGTCTTAAAGTACTGCCTGGTACATGGAAGGTGTGAGACCGATTCCGTAAGAAGCAAATATTTGCGACTGTGACCCGTCCAGAGCCGCCAGCACACAAAGCCTCGCAGTAAGATATCAGTGAAATTACATGAAATGTAAAAATGAGAAATAAAGAACAATAGTACAACTATTAGTCATTAATTTACAATTCTAAACATTTGTAATTTACAGCTGAGTAAAGTTTCTTATTCATACGAACTAAATATTTTTGTTTAAAAAAAAACATTTGTTGAAGTTGTACACAGTAACAATGCACGAAATTTGGGTTATTTGGAAAATTTTATATAGATGTACTACTAAAATACTTAAAAATTTGAATACATAATGAAATACAATATAGGTATCTGCTTACTGTTCATTTTTTAAAGAGAAATACAATATTTTACAAGAATCTAATCGTCGGTTATATCATATTTCCAACTAAGACTAAACCCTATATTTATTATACTTAGTAGTTACAATAATTCTTTATAACAAAAAAAATCACGCATATCACTTAAATTGCAATGGATTGAACTCGTTAAAATGAATTGAATGAGTCCAAACCCAAAGGAACTCTTGAAAAAGAACTCAAAGCAACTCCTGGCTCTATCATAAGTTATCTCGACATATCAAATTACTATTGTCATTTAGATTTCATATACCTAAATAGTTACACCCCTGTCACGCTATGAAACCAGTAACAAAAAAAATAATTGAATTGAATTCAATTAAAATTTTCTTTATTTCAATTAAATTGAACTGAATTGAATTGACCACTTACAACCATATATGACAATTAGAAGATCGATTTGAAGATTTAATTACATGGAAAGCCTATCGAAAAATAGAAACAGTCGTTTACTCTAATTACTTACTCTTCGTAATATTCCCTTCCCACTTATGCTTATCATAAGAGTTTTATGGTTGAAATTATAACGATATTTTATTTATATGTATAATTCAGAATTCATCATCACAATCATTCAGAATTTATATGAAAAAGTTTGAACAGCAGTTACATAATTAAAATTGCAAAATATAGAGTATTATAAAAATGATGAGTGAGAACGTAAAATGTTCAAATTACATTTGTGAAACTATACAGGCATTAATAAAAGCATAATGCTATAATCACAAAAAAAACCTGCAAAGAAATTAACTATTTCGTACATATGAGAGCATGTACAATTCCGAGCTCATATTATACATATACATACGATTTACAGACCTAAATAACAATCAAATGAATTAATTTAAATATATTTTTCTCCAGGCTATACAGTTTTTAGAACAGCTATTGATTTAAAAACTATACATAATAAAATAAAACTATCTTTTGCTTCCCGACGTTTCGAATGCTTCATATCATTCATCGAATGCAATCATGGTCACGGGAGAGACTACCAGAAACGTCAAGAACCAAAAAATCAAAATAAATTCGTGAAAAAATACGAAAAGATAGTTTTATTTAAAATGTAAAATATTCGCGTAAATCTAAAAAAGTATTATACATAATAACTCAAAATCCAAATCTTCCATACATACTCATCGACACGCACGTGTAATATATATACGTAGGTATGGTTACCCGCGCAAGTGTCACGAGGCGTCGGGCAGCCGCTGGTAGAGGTGCGGGCGCGAGGCGCAGCCGGGGCACACGTGCAGCGTGCCCGCCACCACGCCCGAGCACTCCCAGCAGTAGCACTCCGTGCAACGCGTGCACCGGAATATCTGCAACAATTTTATATTTAAATATTGCTATTTATATATACTTATATTTTAAACTAATGGCTCTACCCAATTGCATCCATTTTTTAAAGTACCGTCCGTAAAAACCGCCCATTAAACCCAACAAAACTTTCCTCGTCTTAGCTACTTAACGCCACGACGGCAGACCTGTCAAAGCAGACCACACGACCACAAGGGGCTACTCCATCGATCCATTCTGTTATCAGAGAAGCACCAGGAGCAGCCCGCAAGGATATACCGCCCACCAAATTGGGCAACCCCCAAGTTTGTTTCATGGTTTTTCGCATGTTGTTTCATTGTCGAACGCTAATTGTCCCCACGACTATGACAAGATGAGCACACCTGTGTGGGACCTTTTAATCATTTTTCGATAGAACGTCATAATAAGCTGGAAGTTGAAAAATACTATTTTTCTACGCTTTACGTCCCCCCATTTCTCGGGGGTAGCTGGGCATGTGGGGCATTTTACGAATTTCTATTCCTTATATACCTGCTAACATTTTAAAATCATAAAACTTCAGGTTTTCAATATTTTGTTCCCAAACCGGATTCCGATTGGACTATCACTACAAATTACAAATATTATACATACAATTTCGCGGATAACCTTTTAACCTTTTAATTTGCGTCGTTATTAATATTTTAAATTATAAACTAACGGTACAAACCTGTTTATCAAGATCAGTGAACGATCTCAAGCATGCAAAACAAAACTGTGCTTGACCTTCGTTGTTTATTTCCTCATACGGGTCCACAGGGAACAAATGATGATACGATCTGAAATAAAAATATACAATAAAATAACATAGACTTTAGGAGTGACGAACCTATTGCCACGAGATGGCATTGCCAGGCTTTAACTTTGAAACCGTTCACCATGAAAATTGATATTTATTGAGGCTTCTGGACGCTTTTATTAACTTCCAATATTTGATTACATTGCTAGTTACAAGAGAACCAACATTATTATCAAATCTTGGAAGTCAATTTCAACCTGCTTTTTAAAAAATACAATATTTCAGAAAAAATTACGTTTGTAGGTTTTAAAATGTTGACTATATTATGTAGTTAATGAATTTATTATTGAGAATATCTATATAAATACAAATTTTATGAAGAAAACGGAGAGGAACGTTCATACAGAGAATTTAATTTATTATCAAATCTTGGAAGTCAATTTCAACCTACTTTTTAAAAAATACAATATTTCAGAAAAAATTACGTTTGTAGGTTTTAAAATGTTGACTATATTATGTAGTTAATGAATTTATTATAGAGAATATCTCTATAAATACAAATTTTATGAAGAAAACGGAGAGGAACGTTCATACAGAGAATTTAATTTTCTACTAAATTGCTGCTACAATTTTTTCTCAAATCCGTATACTTTAATAGATACAAAAATACGACTTTATCAAAATATGAACAAAGATCGCCTTGAGGTACGAATTATTTTTGTTAAAAAAATCTCCCCTTTTTTCATTAAAAAGAAGGTTTTTTTTTGGGGCGTCGGAAAAAGTTTAATTTTTAACTACCACCCTAATGTATATGTAGTTCGTATGTCAATACTATAATGGAGCTTATGTGATGTCGGAGCTACGTGGTGGAAAGTGGAACCCTTCAGTGGCTAGTAGTAAACCGCTCGATTTTAGGCTCTTATGATTAATTTTGACGAGTTCCCTACATTTCAAGTCGTCTAAAGTGTGTTTTTTTAACCCTATATTGCGTGTTGTGCTGTTGTATTGCTTTTCAGTACGTGCACGAAAATGTTATGTATGTTCATAAAAATACACACGAATTTCCCAAAAAGTGTGACATGCATAACATTAATACTAGGAGCAAACAAACTTATAATGCCTGTGACTCGTCTACACAGAGTCAGTAATTCTTTTTATGGACAATGTAAACGCTTGTACAACAGGAACCCAGAAAATGTTCAAAAGGCTTCTATCGCCAAATTATTATTTTTTTTTGTTAAAGAACGTTTGTGTGCTAAAGACTATTATACAATAAATGATTTTGTAGAAGATGGCACGCCTTGGGAATGAAATGATCGCGTCCAGGCTTTTTCTACTTGATAGAAATATTGTAAATTATAATTTAATTAAAAAATAATACCGAATTAATATTAGTCCCACTGAGTTTCTTTCGCCAGTTCTTCTGAGGCTTCTTCTTTCCGAACTGGTAACTACCATGAAGTTCAGTAAAATATTATACTAATTTAATGCTGAATAAAATATATTGAATTTGAATGTGAATTTGCGTTGTCGTACCTCGCGAGATGCGGCGCGGAGGCAAGCGTGAGGCCGCAGGTGCGGCACTGCGCCGGCAGCGAGCAGTACTTGCTGCGGCACTGCGGGCACAGGTGGCCCTCGCCACCTACACCCTCGCCCTCTTCTAAGTGACTGCAAATATACATAGAACTAACTGCACAGAACTCTCTGATTCTCAAATTACAATTGAGAGGCGCGAGACTACAATCTATCAAAATCATTAATAGGAAAATAATCAGGACAAAATAAAACAAAACTCAAAAAAAGGCGCGTACAAAAAGTTTGCAGTTTTGGATATTCATTTATAAAAAAATGTACATATCACCGATGACTTAATACTTTACTAGCTAGTATAGGTGCCCCATACTGTCCAAAGAAATTGGACAGCGCTAATTTCGGCTGTTTTTTGTTTGTATAAAATATATTTATTCTAACAGATAGATGTCTACATCGGGAAACTGTTGGGACCAATTTTATAAATAAAATTATGATAAATTTTGAAAAATTCATCTTGAATTTAATTAAATATATTTCTATAAGCCCTCAACCAGGGTTCACCTTGTCGTAGTGGGGAGGCTCAGTAGTGCCCGGCAATCCAGCCGGGCGCGAAACTAAGAAACACACAGTTAGGTGGCCCACTTCGGTGAGCGGTGTACCATGCGGGTTGCGCCTGGTACTTCTCTGATAGTAGAGTAGACCGTAGAGCAACCCCATGGTTATAGTAGTCTGCTTCGGCAGACCTACCGTCGAGGCGACGTGGTTGTACGATGTATGTTGTTGCTGTATAAAACAAATTCCTCTATAGATTAATGGGTGTTTTGGCAGATAAGAGATAAGACATGAGCGACGTTGACGTGGATGAATCGGATCTTACATCTAGACTATTGCGACTACAGTAGACACGGAAGCAAATCACTCGGAGAAAGCCCAAGGGCATAGTCATAGATTGTATATATCAACGGACAACGTAACTAATGATTATTTTGTAAAATACTGCTAGAAATGTAACATTTGATTGATGGCGTACTATTTAGTTTTTGTTTACTTAGAGAATTTTTAAAAGCATAATATAACTAATACTTTCTTAAATTTACGCGAATATTTGACATTTTAAATAAAACTATCTTTTCGGATTTTTTCGCGTATCTATTTTGATTTTTGGTTCCCGACGTTTCGAATGCTTTACAGCAATGATGGTCACGGGTCTCTTTCGTGACCAAAAAATCCGAAAATATAGTTTTGTTTAAAAAGCATAATATAACTGTTTGGGTTCTATTTTTTAACTTTCGTTATATAAACTTCAGGAAAAGTGGTGCAAAATTGTTTCTGATTAGTATCCCATGGACGGAAAACGAGGACGCCAACAAACCATTATGATATAAATCTAACAGCTGGACACCACTGCAGGAGGGTGGCGCGTGAACAAACTCAATGGAAGATGTTAGAGGAGGCCTATGCTAAGAGGCACATCGAACTGCGATCCTTTTATAAATAAAACATACTCTGTAGAGTCACACAAACCTGCAGTTCGGAATAAAGGGCTTATAAATAAATAATATACTTCAATAACAAATAGATATAATGCCATCTGTTGACATATATTTGAACTAATATTTTTTCTCTGTTTTTGAAGAGACCCCATGCTATATAGCATTTAATAAAAAGTTTTTATTAAATGCTACATACTATGTGGTATTTTTATTAAAGAATACTCTCAGTTGTCATTCCAATACACATTCTAGTGATTTTTTTATTCTAATATGACAGAATAGGAAGCAACCAGATTAACATAGTGCAGAATGTAAAATTCAAGCCCTAGAGACTCCTATACATCATTTATACCTAAGTCTTGATGACTGTATAACCGCATATGCATAGAAAGAATTTATCGTTTTGAAAAAAAAAATATAAAAAGTTGAGTAAAGAAAAACGTGCTGTATGTTTGATTTCATATGGTGAAGTTTATATTGCTCAATTTTTTTATATTCTTTCGAAGCGCGTAATTCTCTCCCTATAAATACGAATAAATGTATTGCTTGTTGATCTAGTCAATATAATAAGCATCACAAAGCAAATGATTCATCTGGTAAAGAAACTGGAGAGTAACTTATACATGTATAGCTCAATTTTTATCTCTGTATATCATTAGTTAAAAAGGCACTGTAAGCCCAGTGGTAACGTGCTCGCTTGGGAAACCGAGTGACGTGGGTTCAAATCCCGAGTCTCAGACCTCTGATATTTTCACGTGCGAATCATTTCTAACATGATTACCACTTGCCTTACGGTGAAGGAAAACATCGTGAGGAAACCTGCATGTCTGAGAGAACCTAAGAAGTTTTCGAAAGACACGTGAAGTCCGCCAACCCGCACTTGACCAGCGTGCTGGACTATGGCCTGATCCCCCTCGTACTGAAAGGAGGCCCGTGCGTAGCAGTGGGACGTAAAAAGGGCTGAATAGATACATAGATATCATTAGTTTAATATATTTTAAACATAGTGTTTGTGGTATGTAATAGGTTTAAAAAGCCCTGTTCTATTTTCTTGGTTAGTAGTAAACCGACAGTTACAAATAAAAAATAAATAAGCTATGACGTACCACATACACACAGTGATAGGCGGATCTGCATCTGGCTGTGTGGCTTGAGGTGTGTGGGGGAATCCCATTTTGACGAGACCCGCTTCGAGAGCACGAGCCCGCGCCGGGGGCGACGTCTGCTCTAACAATAGCGACCTGTAGTGTACATCGTCTAGCACCACCTGTTCGTAAAGTTAAAATAATAAATAATAAAACCCTTAATAGTAAACCCAAAAAGAAAAGAAATACAGAAGAGCAAAAACCACACACATATATACATATATACAAACAAACTTTCACCTTCATATAACATAGTAATCTTACAGATGGCATGCTCTGACTTTATCCTACTACTTTTTTAATGTAGTATCCAAAAAAAGAAACATTTATTATAGGAACAAGTTTGGTTTGTGCATTGATGAATAGTCAAAAGTATAATAAAATATTTAATAAATATTTTATTATACTTTTGAATTTTATAAAGTATAATAAATAGTCAAAAATATAATAAAATATTTGTTAAAAATCAAACAATTATTTATGGGCTAATTAAGGAGTTAACCGGTAAATTAAGGAGTTAACCGGTGGTAACTTGTTAGTTTAATTTCCAGTAATTAGATTGAAGTTTTTGCCACAAATGGTTACAAAGTTTAGACTGAAAGTTTGTGTGACCTTTCCGTTTGACATACAAACAAACTAATTTATGAAAACTTGAAAAAAAATGTTCAAACATGAAACAAACAAAGATAAAAAAATCTTTTACTTTTTAAAGGCGTGGAAGTTGAGAGTAAAAACTAATGGTAGATTAACAAGAAAATTTTATTTCATTGAAAACTAATTGTAAGTGATATTATTTATATATTTTTTTAAATGAAGTAAAGATTTAGAATTTTATATATAGTGCATGCAAATATGAAATATGTATGTATAAATAGATATAAAATATTCAATTTTAGATTAACATAGACTTAACAATTGTCAAAAGTTAATTGTAAAAAACTCTTTAATAGTTTACCGAAAGAAATAAAAAAATCTAAAACTTTCAATAGCTTTAAGTCTAGGTTATATAAATATATTCTTTGTCACTAATGTTCCCAGTTCTACTGATCAACTGTCATAATTTCTTATATCTTTATATAAGTTTCTTCATGTAAAAGATTTGTTTGTAATGAGAAACAAAGTTCTTTAAACCAAAAAAGTGTATCATACCTATTTAGAAGTGTGATGCAAACTGAGCAATAATCAACACACAAACAAAATTTAAAAAAATATGTTTCTTCATAGTATTAATAAATAATAATACAAACCCCATATTCACCACCAGTATCTTGACATAACTTCTTACATATTCTAACTTCTGCTGCTAGACCAATCACAGAACATCTTACTCCATCAGTCTTTAAGGTCTGAAATTCAAATAAAAATTAATCAAATTAAAAGTAATACAGTATTTAACTTTTAAGGTATTGTTTTCTCCATTTACATAAATAAATTTCTTAAAATATAAATGTTAAAATTACAATAAATATATATATATATATCATATTTAGTACTTTTATTTTGTACTGTACATACATGCAGGCGCGGATCCAGAGTTAAATTTTGGGGGGGGGGGTCATAGACTGAAACATACATAAATAATAAAACAGTAACTTAGCAAAATCGTAGCCTGCCGTCGTGTAGACTCGTAGTCCGTAACATACATCATCAATTTAAATATTATATTGTATATAAATTTGTTACATCAATTTTATTGTGGGTGGGTGATGTTTAGATTGTGTGTGAATTCAATAAATTAATGATTAATAAAATTGAAATGTTCAGTTTGTAATGTCAAAACAACAGTTTTTTACTTAATGCAATGAAATGCATAATATACGGAATAAATTTAGGGATTAATTTTCTTTCTGTTTGTTCCGGCTAATATCCGAAACGGCTGAACTGATTTTGACGGAACTTTCACTGGAAGATAGTTGATGTTATAAGGAGTAACACAGGCTACTTTTATTTTAGAAAAAAAATCTGGGTTCCGAACAAAAAATTAAAACCCATGAAATTGTGAACAAAATCCGCGTACCCAGGGACGCAAACGAGCGAAGCGAGGATAATTCCGAATTCGCTAGTTGACAATACGTGTTAAATTTTTTGTAATAAAAGGTTTAGTCCCCATGAGTTCTTTGTTTACCTTTAGTTAACTACCTAAACCTATGGAGTAGATATAGGAAAATATTATTTTTTAAAGTGCATGCACATTTGATGATAATATTGCAGACCTTAAAATTATAAAATAAATAAACTCACGCAGAACCAAAAAAACGCATGATTATAATTAATCATAATCCCTCTGTAACCTCTTTTTACCTAAGTGCGGTGCACTACGGTGAACGAATATTTTAGATAAATTATTATTAATATTTAAGAATAATATAATCAATCATATATGTACAAGTATTATAGGTTATAGTGAGAAAAAAAAATTTGAAAAAAAAAAGAAAAAAGTTGTTGCCAGTCAGAATTTGATTTTTTTTTGTGGGGGCCCCTCTCTTGTGGGCCTCCAATCCATCCTATCCTAAATCCGGCCCTGCCTCCAATATATGCAAATATTTGGATGAAATCTTATCATTAAGTGTTTCTCATTGTATGAATTCTAAAAACAAATGCTAACCTGTATAGTAGTATTAATATCTCCAGGGTCACAAGTTGTGAGTGAGCCAAATAATACTAAAAGTTCTCTTGATGCATGACCAGGGAGAGGTTTCAATATCCTACCAGCAAGTTCTAATGTGTTTTGCAATGAAGGTTCCCCCGCCAATACTAAATTTGTTAAACTGTAAATCAAAACTATTTTAATTAGGATCATATAAAAATATATACAGTGAGAAGATAATGTCTTAATAACATAAATAATGTTAAGATATTTAGTATCTTAACAAGAATTAATATATAATGAACTCATTTACTTTATACATACCTTTGTACTGCTTTTATATGTTTTCTAACATTGCCAGACAGTTCTGTAATTTTTTCAGCCCTTTTATTCTTTATTGCCAGTAAACCCAGCTGACTCAATGGGTTCTGATCAAAGAATTCTTCTACAAACTTTTCTAATAACTAAACAAAAATATTTATATAAACAATATTTCAATGTCATTAACATTATGATAATAATAGTCTTAATAAGAAATACAATTAAGTAGGTATGTAAGTCTTTATAAAAGAAACAGCAGAACAAATAAGAACTTAACATTTAAAGGTGGCCTTATTACACAGCAACTATAACAGTAATCTCGTCCAGACAATCTTAAGGTAATATTCATAAAATATTATTCAGTTATAATTATAATATCAAACTATAATATTGTATACATAATTTTAATAGACATTTCCTGTAAACTTAGTTACCTTAAGAGTACATAAGAATCTTGTAGGTTTTAAGTCTTGGCAATTCATAGGTTCTGAGCAATCTATAGCTACAAGCAAATGTCGCATCATGCCGAGACGAACGGGTCCTCTTCGAAGAGTTACAGCTTTTCGTGCAGCTTTCTGCGCGAACTCAGCCACCAGTCCCTCAACCAATCCATCTTCATCTTCTTTGATGGCCTCCCTAAACAGACGTGACAAGATGATTCAATACCAATTAAATAGTATATTGTACACTGAAAATTTACGTAGAATGTTGTTTACACACCAAGTTTTTTCGTAACCTGTTTCCCAACGGTATTCTTTTGGATCTTGTTCATCATCTGCCATTATAAATTATACAATGTATAATATAAGTTATTATATGTTATTTTATATTAATTAAAGGAATAAGAATATTTTTAAGGTTATTAGTCAGTTTTTGTTTAGTTTAGTTTAGTTCTTTGCTTTAATGGCTTTAATGCGTGCCAGTTGAGCACAAATTATTTCGCCAATGTCACGTTGAATGGAGGAGTCACGTTCGAGACAGTTTTTGTTTATTTAATTGAATTTGAGTTATTTGACATTGACTGAGTTTGACTCATGGATGACAAATAAAGTTTGACAGCTTTGACAGTTGAATGCACAGACCAGGACAAGGTTGATTGAATTTCAACTTAGATTTTTTGTCAATGACAACTTAGATTATTTATTTAATATATATGTAATCTACAACTCAGAATAAAATTAAATATACGTTGACTAATCCGCAAAAAAAGTTTGGTAGGTTGATTTTATTTATAACACACTTTTAGGACATTAAAATTTAATATTATTATATTTATTTATTTTTCAATAACATCAATGTCAAAAAAATGTTGTTTATAATTTGGTCACATTGAGTATTTTTAAAGTAATTTTTTATACATCCCATAATTTTCGCTGCTTTTGCGGTTAAGACAGTTTTACTTTTACGACTTTTTTCTACTACACTATAAACATGGTTGAATTTGAATACTTTTTTTTACCTTTCTCATTATCCTAACCATGTACAATATTATTGATAACTGATTGAAATCCATATTTTATTAATATTTCCGTTTTTAGGTAATTAATAGTGCTGGACTCTACATTTCGCGCACGGTTCCCAATCCCCATAGTCCATACCACTTTAACAGCCATGGCAAGATTAAAGATATCTGGAAGACCAAATTCGATGTAGCATGCACACAAAAAAGAACAGACGAAAATCGCTAGATGTGCGTTCTGGTGTGTACTAGCTACAACACTTAGCAATGGACTTGGAGTAAAAAAAGGAGATAGAAGCTTCGTTGCTGTCTCTCTCATTCGTATGACCCTTCCACTTCCGGGTGATTTGTGTTAACTATTAAGTTTTTTTTTGGTATAATTTTATTCTTTTCTATTAAAATATCCTTCAAAGATATTGTCATTAATGTCGATAATATCACGTCCTTTACGTTATGTAATTACAATTAGCCTAACAGCTAATTATAAAAGTAAAAACCCGGCTGCGTAAAATGAAACAAGATGAGAACAAATTGACGAGGAAAGAATTAGTAGAAGCCGGAGACAATGTATAAACGCTATAAAAAACTCACAGCAGGTATAAAACATGTATATCTCGGGTCTCCAACTGCATAAAAATGTTTCTTCGTCAACATGTTCTCATCTTTTTAGTTTAATTTTACGCAGTCGGGTCTTTTGTTTTAATAAATTGTTTTTTTATGCACAGCTTTTTAGTTTTGGTCAGTTAGATTTTGTTTTATTGAACAATTTCTTATCATATATGACTTAAACATATATGTAAACTACACATACTGTACATATTTTGACACCCCCCTCGATTTGGCGCCTTTGATCTGCCATTTGATTTTTAAGGATATCTATATTATATCATGACAGTCAGTCGCGTTATCAACATGGATGGCAAATAAACATAAAAACGAATCGAATGGCATTTAAATCATCAAAATCAGTAAGCCGTTCATTAATTATGAGGGAACAAAGGGTCGGACATATATATAACATACAGGTCGAAAACATAGCCCTCCTTTGGGCTACGCCGTAGTCGGATGGCAGTTGCAGTTTGCACGGCAGCCCATTGGCTGCGCGCAGCCAGAGCGGGCTCTCTAATAATCTATAGGTTCTTATAATAAGTCGCATTATGTCAAGTCAATAAAATTATCTTTCAACACTTTTCCTTGCTTTGGTAATATAAAAGGTCCGGCTCCGTTAAACATTTCTACAAATTTTAACCATACACCTGAAATAAAATGTTTAAACAAAAGTTCATCCCACAGATTTTACATTGTACAATAAGTAAATAAAACAAGGTATATTCATTTTTTATTGTGGTTAAAATTAACATAAAGATACAAAAATAGATTAAAATAAGATTGTAGATTCTTCCTGGAACTTAAGTTACTGCAACTTATGTATTCACTTTTTATTGAACATTATAACCAAGTTGATTAAGTTTACTGCAAGTTACATAAGAAATCTTTAATACTATTTATTCAGATAACAGTGTACATACACAATTTTGGAATTTCACTTAAAATTACATTGAGTTTGATCAGATATTTCCAAGGACTTTGAAATAAATTAAAACTACCATATTATTATAATGCTAGGATGTTCAGTGATATTACAAATGATGTACTTTACATTTAAATTTTTTAAAGTTTGTTTAATTATTTACTGTTTTTATTGACAGTAAATAGCAAAACACTACTTAAATCTAATCTCCTTGGGTGACCAACTTTGTAGCAGGACCTATTTTAAAATTAAGTTTCTTAATGCCAATGTAATTAATTGTACACAAAAAATAATTTAGTCCCTAGCTACATGGATGGTCTTTGCATTCCCCCAATTCAAAGGAATGTATTCATTCACTCTGTTGCAGCCATAGCACGTGCCTGCGCCCTTACTCTCTTGTCATATTCTAATCGATTTTGACTGTAATAAAGCAAGATAAAAATTATAACACATTAAAAATAATACTAATTATATTTTAGTTTAATGATAAGTCTTTAGTTAAATATTTTAAAGATCTATAAGTGTACTGAAAAGTGTCTTGTATAGATTTTTTTTTAATATCATTACAATGAATAAATGTAATAATTAAATTTCACAATACATACCAATAAATTGTATAAGCCTCAGCCTGAGCAGGATCCTTGACATTAGGTTCATTAAGGAGATCTTGAATGCCGAGGAGGATTTGTTTAATAGTGATTGCTGGACGCCAGTCCTTTTCTTCATCAAGGAGTGATAAGCATACTGTGCCAGAAGGATACACATTGGGGTGGAACAATGGTGGTTCAAATTTGCATTTTGGTGGACTTGATGGATAGTCATCTTTGAAGATCATTCTCAATTTGTAAAGACCACCTTCCCATGGTGTCTACAAAAAGTATAAGATCATATTAAAAAGAAAGATTTTTTTTAATTAGCAAATGCTAAAATGATAATGATTGTATAAATTAATAAATTACACACTACCCATAAATACCACAAACTTAAAACTGAATATGTAGTTCAGTTTATATAAATCACTTTTATTTATATATTTTTCAAGTAAAAACATTTAGTTAACAATATTTTGAAATATTTAATAAACATTGATAGGCATCTTTTATCAAATATTATATAAAGAAATTTGAATAAGAACATTCTCATTCATAAATTAAGACATACTCTTTATTTATAAAAATTATTATGTGTAACTATCTAACAAAATAACGTCTTCCAAAAAGTTATAGAATAAAACTATTTAAAATGCATACTAACCCCTTTTTTGCCAGGAATTGCACATTCCCAAGTCATCAGATTTAATGAACCATCTGGGTTTTTCATAGGTCTGGCAACGAATCCCTAAAATAAGAATGGTTTTACGATTTCTGTGCAAAATTGTAAATTATTATTCTAATATTCACTTCATCTAGACACTTACAAAGGGATGGTCCTTCCGCCAAGCTTTTCTCTCTTCGGCTAGACGTGCACTTGCAATTCCCGACATTGCCTGAAAGAATAAAACAGCAGGTAAAAATACGCGTAAATTGCATATGTCTATATACAAAATAGAATCAACGTACTCTGTAAATTACGAGAAAACAAATATGAAAAATAAATTGTACAGCGCGAATAAAAGCGTCCCACGATGCGTCAAGTACAATTCCTTGATCCACAGATAACAATTGACTCAAGTAGTGACTACCATGGATGACAAATAAAATAGATGAATTAGTTCCATACGAGCTCTTGGTGCATCTATCTATCCCTTTCATTTGCTTGGTAACTAGCATGCTATCTCTACATTTGGCGACAACGAGTGGGACAACAACTTATTTCTGTCGCAGTTACATACGTCACTACTGTGACGTCACTGCAATATTTTGTCATTTTTGAAATATTCAAGTTTTAACCGTCGTTATTACTCGCCCCTGGGGACTAGGGTGTGAGGGCTTGCCGTTTTTTATATTATTTTACACTTAAAATTTACATTTTATCAATTTGTAGATTAGTATTAATTAATGTGGATAAGTGCGGATTAATGTAGATCAGTGATATAGTTAAGATTTGTGCTTGGATACAAAATTTGTTATTTCTTCATTAGTGTTTCTCTTCCTTTTTTTGGTTTTTTATTAATGTTGTGTAATCATGGGAAAGCATTGTAATTCCGAATTGTCAGGAAGTAACAGAAGATTTTTCATGCCATAGAATGCCTTATAAAGATGCACTTCAATTTTATAACGTATACTTATAGAAATTCTTATAAACGGTTTATTTCTAGAGTAACTCTATCTGACCAGGTTTCTGCCAATGTAGCTGCAATAAATTCATTAATTTCTGATACTAAGGTAAATATACTTTGTAGTGCCAATGATGCATCAAGTGCTATCCATTATGAAGTTAATGGGAAGTGGGAACAAAACCTATCATAAGTATGATGTACCTCATTTACTGAAATGTTTCAGTAATAATTTTCAGAAAAAGAATTTGCTCCTTGGCAGTCAGCATGCTCAATGGGATTATGTTTATATGTTGTATAAAGTAGATGACCATAAAGGTGCTGCAAGGCTAACAAACTTACTGACAGGCATATTTATCCAAACTCTTTTGTTAAGATGAAGGTAACTATATTGTTCAGTTTAGTAAATTAAGATATTATTATATTACTTTAGATCTTGGATATTATTTTTAATATGAATTTGTTTTTAAGAAGGAACTTCTTGAAGCTATTGATATTATTATACTATTTATTATTATACTATTCTATTCTAATATGTAAAATTGAATAGTTTGTTTATTGTTTGAATGCACTTATCCATGTAATGCTCAGTCCATTAAAAACAATTTATCAACTCTATAGCCTATCTATTGTATAATGTTAACAGCTATTTAAGGGCCTAATTGGCTTATCTACCTAGACCCTAATAATACTAAACTATTACTATATTTAAATAAGCTACTATTCATCTACAGTAGTTACTAGTTCATATACTATATAGTTATGGTGACTATTTGTTGTATTACATTATTATAATAATATATTTACAGGTGAAGTATATGCTGCGCAGGTGTTTCAGCAGTTGAAGTGTTTCAACATCTATAAGTCTCCTGATAAAGGCTTTTAGTTTCCAGGAAGAACACAATTATTGTAATACATTAAACGTAAATATTGAGAATGGCTTATTCACAGCTGAGATTATTTTATTCATTAATAATAAAATACATGATCCTTCTAAGAATCTGTCATCTCTAGTATGGTATGCAATTTAAATAATTAAAAGACAATTACCAAAGATTTGTAAAGTTTACATATTTCCCGATTTAATAAAAGCATTTGAAAATCTTGATACCTCTTGGTACACTTGTGTAGATCATAGAGAAATATTTTTAAGAGCATTCTCATTATTTATGATATGTATAAAAGTTAGACACAGGTGTATAAATTTTAATCGAAGAATTGAAAATTTGCTTAATATGAAAGTTTCAGAAGGGCCTAGCTATGGTTGAACTCATCTAGTCTTCAGAGTAGTGAATGATTTTCCAATATTTTTTCATTAATTAACTTTTAATATTTATTAGTCTTGTTTGTTTCATTTCTTGGTTATTTAAAAGATAATCACTTGGAATTTTCCATTTTCATTATGTTTCTATTAAGTATAAAAATAATGTATGAATATTTCAATTGATTTCTGTGAAATAATATTATAATTTCTTAAAATATACTACTATAGCAGTATATAATTTTAATATATTAATTATAATTGTTACATTTGATATAAAATTTTATTTTAGAGTATGTTTAGCTGTTATTTCTTTTTACACCAAATTTTTATTATTACTATGTACATTTTGATTTTAAATTTCTTAAGCTTTTAAGAAAATTAATTTTATTATTCATTTTTTACTGAAATTTGCATTTTTTTTTTAATTTATATAAGATTAAAATGTTTGTTTTTTCAAATGCGCTAATCTCGAATCTTTGCATTTTATAAACTGAAGATGAAGGTGGTTCTAGAGCTAAAACTTCAAACAAAAGCTAGATTTTAATTTATACCTACAATTAAACCTACTACTCGCTTAATATGATATTGTTATTAACAAAAACTATTGTTCTATGTTACTTCTAATTTTATTGCATTGTAATATTTTATACCAAATCGTTGTATTAGTCTTTGTCTCATTGTTATTATCTTTTGTATTTTGTATTCAATTGATAAAATTCTTTAAAAATGTCCTTTTACAATAAAATAACAATGTATTATAAATGTTAAGAAAAAAAAGGTTATCCCGTCAAGGACCTCAGTCCTTGCTAATTCTTCTCAGGTCTGAGGCATTTTTCCGAACTAGTGATAGCATTAAAATAGTAAAATAAAAAAAACTAGAAACCTATCTTTGTATTTTATTTCTAATTATAATTAATATCATAAAAATGAAAACCTTACTATAAAACCGATAACAGTTGTTGAATACCGATAACATTACGATAAAATACATCCCTACTTAATCGTAATCGTAATGAATACCGATTTTTACATCACTACGAACTAAATTCTCCCAGATTCGCATATGACGTCATACCCTTAGAAAGAGATGCGTGGCGACTCAAAAGAAATACAATAGCCGTGAAAGTGACAGCATATTTTGACTTGCCATTTATGCCATAACTGTCCCTATATTTAGGCAAATTCATGACATAGCTCTAAAATATAAATCAATTTTTATAACATAAAAACCTATGTTAATAGATATTTTATGTTTGATATGAAATATAATTAAAATATAAGATATTCGATAATAGTTAAAATCATTTAGAATATAATTATATAAATCAATATATAGCACATATGATTTATAAAAAAAAAACATTTTAAGCATATTTAACTTAAGTATATTTTATAATATAATAAGATATTAATTAACATATCCCATGTAGCTATTTTTAATTTATAATGGTTAAATCGGGAAAAATCTTTCTTTGACTATCTTGACCCCCCCGGCCCCCGCTTCGTCTTATTCGCCTTCGGTTTTATGAATATGCGCTTGTATGGAGCTCGGCCGGGGCTGGTGACTACAAATAACGTGTTTATACTCATTTTTATTCATACAGAATAATTTTTGTACATTTAATCAGGAATAGAATAAGAATATATTTTTAGGAATTTATATTATTTAAAAAATTAAAATAATAAAATTTAATATTTCTATCTGTTCATTATAAATAGGGCAATTTTAAATATTTATTTGTAATTTGTTTAATGTTTATTCTTCATCTACGAATACAAATATGAATTATGAAATATGTAAACATCAAACAGATAACATCAGTTTAACACACCAACAATAATTAGCGGACGACTAATTAATTTTATTCATCCGATTAGTGGACGACTAGGCACAAGACAATTCGATTTAACGTTTTAAAATTTTGTCTTGCTCTAAGTACTAACTACTATATGTATAATATTTAACTGCCTCGGTGGTGTAGTGTCTAGCATGTACGGCTGCACACCTGGAGGTCCTGGGTTCGAGTCCCGGGTCGGGCCAAGTTTAGTTATTGAGTCTTTCTGCATAGTAACTAGTAAGCCTCAGTAACAGCCCGGAGTTGGGAAGTTCGCGTTGTTCACCCCCCTGCCTCCGAGAGCACGTAAAGCCGTCGGTCCTGCGCCTTAACTCTCACTGGTCGTGTCGAGTAGTCATCCCACCAGAGTATAAGAGTGACAGGAATAGAGAGTGCATTTATGTCTGCGCGTACACTTGTACACTATAATATCTCCTGCGCAGTCATGGCTAGTCTCAATAAGTTTGGCCGTCGTGGCCAGAATCGGTCAGGAGAACATCATTATCATATGTATATTTTTATAGAATGTTTACCCTTTATTCTCTTCTAATACAAATTTTACTTACTAATCTAAAAAAAATATTTAATATGAGGTATTGATTTATCTCATATTTGCTTAGAAAGGCTGCTATTTTACTATACGCGACTAAACCTATTAGCTATTGCATATTGGTGATTTAAATTTGTATTAAGGTTTTTTTTTAATTTAAAGTATCATTATTCGTTCTATTCTAGATATTTTAATACTTTTGTATTTAAATTACATTAATTTTAGATTACATATTTTATTCTTTTTTTACCGTTGAAAAATACCTTCATACAGGGGGTAGGCGTAAATGCGATATGTAAGACTCACCAGCCAGAAAAGGGAGTGCTACCCAATAAAACCCAACAGAACCTCCTCCGAGGTAATTAATTTTTTGAAAATTTAATAGGAACAACCTTTATAATATATTATTCGATAAATATTGAAGTACATATTTACGACAGTAAAATTGTGAAAATTCATTCACAATTGGTGCAGATTTTGCTTACCTATAAAAAATAAAAATAGAGAACCCCTTCAATTTTGAATTTTGAACTCAGTTAAAAACCAAAATCCATCTTTTTTTTCATCGTGGTACACGATAAACATTTAATGGTTCAACCTTGTAATGGGAAAATATAAAATCTACGTGTTTAAGATACATTGTTGAGTAATACCTCAGAAATCAAGACATTGAAAATGGATGCATATGGGGCATTCCGCGCAAAATCGGACGGTTTCAAAAATATTTATTTTTGATTTTCTTAATATTTTCGTATTTTTAGTACTTCTCAAAAGAGGCTTCCTGGTAAATTTTGAGATTTTTTTGATCACTGGTATAAAAATATCGAAAACTTATAGGTATGGTAGTTCCCGTTGACCTAGAATCGCGAAATGTGGCAAAAAGCAAA